ATGTATTTACATAAATAAGCATTTAATTGCAATCATTTATGGAGGATTTACTCACCTCAGTTTATAGGAGAATTAGAAACCCGATTCAACCGTTCACAGTGATAAGATGAACTGTAAAAAAAACAATCATTATTACTTTAAGAATAGTTTGCAATTCCAACTTTTTAATTTCCTCCCGAAAGAAAATACCCACAATGATGGAATTGATTAATTAATCCAATTAACTAAATTAAATACTTATACTCCAAAGTGTATGCTCCCCCAACCTGTATTGACCAGAATAGTGTAGTATAATCAAGTTTATCCATATTATTTCCTATGGTTTACAAACAGCAACAATGCAGAGAATCAGAAGTTACGTGATTTTGCCATTTAATTGCTTTGAGAAATTGCGAATTCATATTTGGGGGAGTGCGAAGTTACCCGGTCCATGGTTTGGAGTTCAATAGCCATAGTTGCACACAGAAAAGAGTCGGTGATTTAGGTATCAGCATTTTCCGTGCATGGATCCGAGTTACTCCTGCCCATTGTTAAGGTGAAACTAAAATAAACAACTAAGTCGTAAGAATGACCATTAATAAACATCAACCGCACAAAAATATCAGTGTGCAGCAAGTGTGTGGTTTGCCAAGGATGAAATTAGTGATGCAACTATTGTTTTATTTTGTTTAACCTTAAATAGTGGATAATTCAATAAAGTTAAAATATTATTTCAGTGAGTGTATCAATTTAACTAATAATATATTAATTTGGCAGGGTGGTCCAGTGGTTAGAGTGCATGGCTGTCTGTTATAATTCTATGTGTTCAGAATTAAACTGAAAGCTGACTCAGCAATTTATCCCTCGGGGTTTGAGAACAATTTTTTACGACCTTGTGGGAAGAGACAAGTCAACCTCCGTTGGAATCGCATGGGCCCGCTATAAATGCGGAGTGTTTAGCACGAGCTTGAAGATACAAGGAAATAAAACAACATCTTGAGATGCATTCAGACGCAAAATCGTATTGTAGCATAGAAACTCCACCCCATTTTTGAGTGGGAAACTACTTTGACATTGAACTTTATTATCTGAGATGTGTCAAAACGTGTCCCGTTTGTATTAGATCAGTAAGACATACTTAAACATCCAAAGTGAATACATAGGTTAATAGACATTAAAGTTAAATCATATATATTTTAATACAAAACACTTCCAATGCATTTTTTTAAAATGAATTCTGATAATTAACCAAACCGAAAATATACAGAATAACATAGTATCGGTAAACATGTTTGCGGCTCTAGGATGAGACATCAAATACAATAAATACTGTTGTAGTTGTCACATCCGAGACATTCCCTAAAGCCAACACAAGGCAGTGTAATAGGATGACAAGCAGCCTAGAAAACCACAATGCACCACAGAAAGCACCCTTGCTGGTCATTAACCACAGAAATACATTCATTCAGAAACTGTGGATTGGCTTAATACATGTAAGTATGGATAAAAGGTGAACATCACAATTGGGAATGAAATATGACTCCTTCCACAGCAGGGTGGTTGCTTATGCAGAGAAATGGATGAGCCAAATGCGAAAACTTTACACACCACCCTGCTCATAAACACCACAGTTATGTCAGAAGAGACCCGTGGAGTGATATAAACTTACCTTAAAGAGTTACAGCCATTCATTAAATTGGTCTAATTTAGATCGTTGCTCTGGCACGTAGCTGAAGACTGAATTTCATCACAATTCTCATCCATTTCATAAGCGCTCTTCCTGTAACGGTTCACACTGAAAGCCATGAGGTACTGTATGTATTAAATAAGGTACATTCGGGACAGTTTTTAATTACCGATGTGAAATGGCCATTGCTCAATGGAATTAAATGTGCGATGAAACACATTTATTTGCATGTTTACCAAAGTATGCAGAGTTTAAACATGAATGGGGCACGCACTATCATGTAATAAACATGGATACAACAAAATATGAATATAGATTTGTAACCCTTTCCAACATTTTCTGCTGGATGAGGACCTCCACACAAAGTGGGGGTCGTGTGAGTTAATTGACCATACTTCACCAGGCTAGTCGGTGCAGGTTAGTGAAGGCTTCCAGTATATAGATGTGGGAGCGTGGAAATGGATGTTGCTGCACTGCCCTCTGCTGCAAATCACGCAGCACTCCAGCTTCTTCTAAAGAACCTGCTGTGGTGGGTGCTCTTTCAAGCACTATCCACCAGGCTCAACACTACTTCGCTTCTGAGATCAGATGCATCCAAGGCAATTGGTTATAGACCAGCAACAGATTAAAAGCCTTGATATCGACCCTGAAGGTCTACATTTGGATTTCATATTGAACCTTTTCTTTATGAAACACCAATTAAGAGCTCTCAAATAGCTTTGGCAGGCTACACATCACCACACACCTTAGCTATATAAAATAACAGGGAAAACAAAGTGCACGCTGACCAAGCATAACAAAGACTGCCCTGATTGAGTGTGCTAGAATTAGAAAGTGTTTCCCGGTCAAAAATATTCCCCTGCAGCACCGGATAAGTGAGGCTAAGATGCTTGCCGTTATGGATAAGTATGATTTGTGGGTAGTTTTGAAGTGGTCAGCGTCATGTGGCTGCTAGCCATATAAAATTAATTTGTGGTCAATATGTTGCCCACAGGCCGTAAGTTCCTCACTGCTGTCCTAAAAGCAAACTGATGCTACGTCTCTGCGATTACAAACGAGACGCAAGCTGCGCTGTTCCTCGAATTGATTGGCTTGGTTCTTCTCCCAAGATTGACTTGGATTAAACCCCTTCCCTGCCATCCCCTGCATGGCTGGAAGACAACAATCCATAAAAAAAATATATAAAGAACTTATGTTTGGGTTGTCTCAATGTTTTGAAAATGTTTACTATGAAGTCACCACTGTTTCCATCCTAGCTAAAGCAGGTCGAGTGGCCCGATCACAGCTTTCTTGACCTCGTGCCCCACTGCCGTGGGAACCCCGACTTGACCCACTTTTCCAGTTCCCAAACATAGGTCAGTCCACTATTAAATACATATGGGAATGCGGTGTTTTTTTTCCCAATATGAAGCTCTGTGAAGTGGCTAAATCTGCCTTTTTATGCAAGTTCCTTGCTATCACTTGTATTTACTGACACCATCTGGTCAAATAGTTACAAAAATGAAACATGGAGAAAAATATTCTCCATGGAAATACTACAAGGACAAGGAACAACAGCAGACCGAGGGGTAGAATTAGTAGTCTGGATATCTGTGGAAACAATAAAAGCAGCCACCTTGAGACATACAACAATGTAATCGGTTTAAACAGTTTTAAAATACAACACTACAATTGATACACAGTGATACCTCTGTCAACAAATAATCTGGGAAACTAATTCCTTCATAATGAAGTCAACCGTGCAGGGCCCCTTCTGCCCTATTTTTGCAAAAAAATGAAAAAAATATCTTCAGAAATAATGCACAGTGATTTAAGAGTAAAAGGTTGAATGCTGTGCGTGCACATCACTTTGGACATTTGGACATCTGTGAAGAGCTTTATAGATCATTGGATTCCTCCAGGATAAATTAATATTCTGATTCTGACTGTGTCAGCAGCCAGTGAAGAGCTGTGCAAGTCTGCCTCACTTGGACCAGTCATCAGCAAGTTTCACCAGTCTTCCCTCATCCCGCTAGCCAGTGCTAGAGCTCAAATTTATATTTAAAGCTTTCGTGACTGCAGGGATTCATCTTCTGGGTTCTTTCGGTAAAGTCACGTAGAATGGAAATAAAATAATAAAAATAAAACATAATAAAATAAGATTCTCACGACGTTTCGGCCACGAAACAAGTAGCCTTCTTCAGGTGAATAAACAGGACTGTCCAGAAGACAGCGCTCGAGTGAACATTGCCAAGCCTGGACCGCGTCTTTTTAAGCTGTGTGGGCGGAATTAACATATGAATTAGCATGTTACCAGCACCACCGGATCGGGGGAGGGTGGCGGTGGGTACACAGAAAAACGGAAAGAAAAAATGAATAGGATAGGTGCGCTGCTCTGTCCTGTATTGCGTTAATAACTATGCTATAAACTGGACTACTATACAATGTAATATTATACCTTCAATCTAAACTACATGGTATAATATCATATCCATAGACAAAAAAAATCACCTTTGAATTATACAATGCGTTACTCTACACTGCCCTATACTTTAGAGTTAGACTATAAAATATTAGACTTGTAATTTTACACTGTCTTATTTTATCAACCCCACTATATGCCACACTGCTGTATATTCACTATACAATTACGATAACTATATATCGCCATATGAATTGTGTTATTCATATTTGGAAAGGAAAATGCAGATCATAAAGAGGAGGGGTAGAGGCGGGAAAGATGAAAAGTGAAGTGACCCATTCGTTGGGGTTGGTGCCGTGCACCTTCAGGACCATTTTAAACCAAGCAGACGAAGTGAAGGCGACTGTGCAGCAATGTTTTCCTATTGTACCCCCTTCTCTGAAGTCCGGAAACGCATCCCCTATGCCTCAGATGTTATACCTAACTCTGGTAACGACGTTTCTGATAACAAAGTGACGTCATGGAATGCATTTACTTCGTTAACCGAGGTATTACTATACACACACTATGTATTAACAGATTATAAGCTGCATGCACACAGGTAAGTCTTAGCTCTCCGATTTATTTTATTTGCCAATCTTAAGACTCCCTAGGGAAGGAGTTCTTAAATCCTATTTTAATATGACCAAAACACATGCGATGAGTAGAAATTTTAACTATCGATAGTGTAGTCAATAGTTTGATGAGAACTGTAGAGTAGCTATAGTTTTCTTTAAGGAAGACTCCAAATTTGAATTATTGAAATCCAATAGCATGGTTTAACAAATACAGATTCGATTGCAGGGCCTTCGGCCCTCTATAAAATTAAGAATTAAATTTCGCGAGCAAGCGTACAACATGACAGGCATTGCTCCATCACCAACGAAGAGCTACTTTGCCCACTCTAATTTCAGCCTTCGCGGATTTGACCGTTGCCAAATTTATTGAGGTATAGCTTGCCCATCGTGCCCCTGTGGCTTGACCATCCACAGTTGACCATGAGATTCCTTTATGCATCATAAACAAGTACTATACTCTAACTGCACTGCTCCCGATGATGAGACCATGAAATACACATGAAATCATCTTTCATAGTATGTAAAAGTATTTTTAGTTCATGTTTTAAACTGCAAAAAAAGTACATGTTATTAACCTCCTCATCTTAATTTTCATATTTACTTTAGCGTGTACAGTACAGCACTAGACATTACACTAAAAACATATTAATCATATTTTACATTTAAATAAATACTTCCCGCTCCATGGTTGGGTTAATGTAGGGTAACATAAAACAAAATGAGCAGTTGTCGTATTACAAATCAAACCCTAATTTTCTTATGCCTCAGAGTTTGTGGATTTCGTATTTGCCGATTGTGCCAAGGACCCTTGTTGACCCCAGTATGAAGGAGCGTAGATGGCTCGATTTTTTTCCCCCCAAAAGTATTTAATCAACAAAACGATATCAGGTACAGAGGATGTGAAAGGGGGTTGACACCAGTACAAACACACGTTACGAATTACAGTTCAATGGAAACCTGTCTAAACTACATGTTTAAATAAAATCGACAACCCCAGTCTTCCTAAGCTCTGATACCCCTGTAGGAAAAAAAGGTAGGGGGGGAAGTGCCTAAATGTCCTAATGAATACTCTTAAGAATCAATGTCCACTGGAGGAGAGGTCGTGAAAGGGTTCCATGGTTGGTGGTAAGCTTCTGAGTTTGGCACTTAGATGCTCTAGTGGCAAATTTTGAAAGTTTATTGGCCCATTCCTGCACTGTTGGGGGAGCATGCTCTTTCCAGTTGGCTGTAATGGTGCGTTTTGCCATAACATTGAACATTTGGAATACAGTAATGTATTTGCCCCCCTGGAAAGGCCTTGAGGTTTCAACCTCAATAGGGATGTGTCTGGTGAGGGTGAGACGCTCGTTTTGTGAATGTGGTTAAAGTAGCAAGTGTTGATTTGAAAAAACTTGTTAATGTCTGGACATTCCCAAAAGGCATGCCTGTATGTTTGAGGGGTATCCGGGGGGCATCGTGGGCAGTTGGAGGAGGTTTGGATGACAAATGTTGACGAAATACATTTCTGTGAAATAAAACGTTTATACCAAAGTGACACATTTTTTAAAGATCATCAACAAACTATCCATCACAATTATAAACTAACAATCAGTGTAGTTATTTAAAACATTAAGTACCGTTTATATGCCATTATTTCTGCATCTATTCAGTTTTTTTCATAAATCCACTGCATATGATTAAAACTTCTCCCCAACAGTCTGCACATAACAATAGCCCCTATGTCATGAAGCAGGAGTTTTTGCTCACCTCTGGGATTTACATCAAGAATTATATTATCTTTCACCACTGCAAGGTTTTGGAAGTGTTTTTTGGAAAATATATTCCCCACTTTCATTCTTCTGAACGTTGCTCAACGTTATTGTTGCTTTGCCCTTAAGGATGTATCCAGACCATGCAGTATTCTTTCGAGCAGATCATAGGTGTTCAAGGTAACCAAGGACCTAAGCAAAGAACATTTTTTTTATTTACTCATTAACGGTCTTTGAAATGTGAATTGTGGTATAAAATATTAAGTGCACCGTTAAAGACACGCAAAATAATGCACGTGCTAAAACTAATCATAGTAATTGTCAATGTTTTACTTTAAGAAAAACGTGAGCATCCAACAGCAATGTTGGTAATGCTCTTCATTGAAAATGGATAGATATATGGCTACAGAGCACCATTCCTGAGTAGATATTAAGGATCATGTTCAGGAAATTTACAAATTAAATTAGAAAACGAGATGACGCAGATGTTAGTGTTGAGTTAACACCACTCAGATCCTGGGTTTTAATGCCTTTAACTAAATCTAGGTTCTCAAGGTAGTGAGTTTATGGTTGCAACCTAGAGATCAATGATTGCACTAAAATATCTATATAAAGACCTTAATCTGCATGTCTCAAAAACCTCGAGGGTACTTCTCGACATGGTAAACATCTGAAATTAGGCACAAAGGTAGCTTTGAGGACAAATGACAGGAAATATGAGAATCTGAGATTTTTCATTTGAAGGCCCCATAAAAGTACCCCCTAAAAATGTTTGTCATTCAGAAACCGTTCAAAATATAAGATTGCGTTTTTTTCGTTTGATAGAGCATTAAACATCAAATAACATTTAATCGAGAACCATTGTTTCATCTTTTATTGTTTTTTTTACATATTTCGGACACATTATGATGTTCAAATTTGAATACGAAAACAGTAAAAGATAGGAGCTTCCCCTCGTAGTATTAAGAAAGCACCCTTGCTGGTCATTAAGCACAGAAATACATTCATTCAGAAACTGTGGATTGGCTTAATACATGTAAGTTTGGTTAAAAGGTGAACATCACAATTGGGAATGAAATATGACTCCCTCCACAGCAGGGTGGTTGCTTATGCAGAGAAATGGATGAGCCAAATGCGAAAACTTTACACACCACCCTGCTCATAAACACCACAGTTATGTCAGAAGAGACCCGTGGAGTGATATAAACTTACCTTAAAGAGTTGCAGCCATTCATTAAATTGGTCTAATTTAGATCGTTGCTCTGGCACGTAGCTGAAGACTGAATTTCATCACAATTCTTATCCATTTCATAAGCGTTCTTCCTGTAACGGTTCACATTGAAAGCCATGAGGTACTGTATGTATTAAATAAGGTACATTCGGGACAGTTTTTAATTACCGATGTGAAATGGCCATTGCTCAATGGAATTAAATGTGCGATGAAACACATTTATTTGCATGTTTACCAAAGTATGCAGTTTGAACATGAATGGGGCACGCACTATCATGTAATAAACATGGATACAACAAAATATGAATATAGATTTGTAACCCTTTCCAACTTTTTCTGCTGGATGAGGACCTCCACACAAAGTGGGGGTCGTGTGAGTTAATTGACCATACTTCACCAGGCTAGTCGGTGCAGGTTAGTGAAGGCTTCCAGTATATAGATGTGGGAGCGTGGAAATGGATGTTGCTGCACTGCCCTCTGCTGCAAATCACGCAGCACTCCAGCTTCTTCTAAAGAACCTGCTGTGGTGGGTGCTCTTTCAAGCACCATCCACCAGGCTCAACACTACTTCGCTTCTGAGATCAGATGCATTCAAGGCAATTGGTTATAGACCAGCAACAGATTAAAAGCCTTGATATCGACCCTGAAGGTCTACATTTGGATTTCATATTGAACCTTTTCTTTATGAAACACCAATTAAGAGCTCTCAAATAACTTTGGCAGGCTACACATCACCACACACCTTAGCTATATAAAATAACAGGGAAAACAAAGTGCACGCTGACCAAGCATTACAAAGACTGCACTGATTGAGTGTGCTACAATTAGAAAGTGTTTCCCGGTCAAAAATATTCCCCTGCAGCACCGGATAAGTGAGGCTAAGATGCTTGCCGTTATGGATAAGTATGATTTGTGGGTAGTTTTGAAGTGGTCAGCGTCATGTGGCTGCTAGCCATATAAAATTAATTTGTGGTCAATATGTTGCCCACAGGCCGTAAGTTCCTCACCGCTGTCCTAAAAGCAAACTGATGCTACGTCTCTGCGATGACAAACGAGACGCAAGCTGCGCTGTTCCTCGAATTGATTGGCTTGGTTCTTCTCCCAAGAAGATTGATTGACTTGGATTAAACCCCTTCCCTGCCATCCCCTGCATGGCTGGAAGGCAACAATCCATGAAAAAAATATATAAAGAACTTATGTTTGGGTTGTCTCAATGTTTTGAAAATGTTTACTATGAAGTCACCACTGTTTCCATCCATGCTAAAGCAGGTCGAGTGGCCCGATCACAGCTTTCTTGACCTCGTGCCCCACTGCCGTGGGAACCCCGACTTGACCCACTTTTCCAGTTCCCAAACATAGGTCAGTCCACTATTAAATAAATATGGGAATGCGGTGTATTTTTTTCCCTATATGAAGCTCTGTGAAGTGGCTAAATCTGCCTTTTTATGCGAGTTCCTTGCTATCACTTGTATTTACTGACACCATCTGGTCAAATAGTTACAAAAATGAAACATGGAGAAAAATATTCACCTTGTTTATAATGGCAATGGAAATATTGTAAACTTCAAGGACAAGGAACAACAGCAGACCGAGGGGTAGAAGTAGTAGTCTGGATATCTGTGGAAACAAAAAAAGCAGCCACCTTGAGACATACAACAATGTAATCGGTTTAAACAGTTTTAAAATACAACACCACAATTGATACACAGTGATACCTCTGTCAACAAATAATCTGGGAAACTAATTCCTTCATAATGAAGTCAACCGTGCAGGGCCCCTTCTGCCCTATTTTTGCCAAAAAATGAAAAAAATATCTTCAGAAATAATGCACAGTGATTTAAGAGTAAAAGGTTGAATGCTGTGCGTGCACATCACTTTGGACATTTGGACATCTGTGAAGAGCTTTATAGATCATTGGATTCCTCCAGGATAAATTAATATTCTGATTCTGACTGTGTCAGCAGCCAGTGAAGAGCTGTGCAAGTCTGCCTCACTTGGACCAGTCATCAGCAAGTTTCACCAGTCTTCCCTCATCCCGCTAGCCAGTGCTAGAGCTCAAATTTATATTTAAAGCTTTCGTGACTGCAGGGATTCATCTTCTGGGTTCTTTCGGTAAAGTCACGTAGAATGGAGATAAAATGATAATAAAAATAATAACAGAATAAAATTCTCACGACGTTTCGGCCACAACACAAGTAGCCTTCCTCAGGTGAAGAAACAGGACTGTCTGGAAGACAGCGCTTGAGTGAACCCTGCCAAGCTTCGAAGCGTCTTTTAAGCTGAGTGGGAGGAACAGAGCGCCTTGACAAAGGAGTTTTACTTATACATTAGCATGTAACTGGGGGATTAGCATGATGTTGGTGTGAGGGATTAGCACCACGGAGAGCGACGAGCTCGGACCGGAGGAGGGGGGAGAGGAGTTTACATATACATTAGCATGTAACTGGGGGATTACCATGATGTTGGTGTGAAGGATTAGCACCACAGAGAGCGATGAGCTTTGTTCAGACGGACGAGTCCATCTACACTATGTATTATTCTACTAACCCTACTGTATACCACACTGCTGTATATTCACTATACAATTACGGTACTATATATTGCCTTATGAAGTATGTTAAACATTACACTTTCGATTTAAAGCTTTCGTGACTGCAGGTTCCCCCATAGCCTCAATGCTACGTTGGGGCAAGTGCCGAGTTGAAACCACTTGCTGAGTCTGTATGGTGTCTCCCTTTTTTGCAGAGTGTAGAGTGTGAGCGAGTATATATGTGTTTGGGAGCGTGTCTGAGTGTGTGATAATGTACAAATGTTTGCGAGTGGGGAGCAGTAGCGTAGTGGCGTGAACCCAGCGAACCGAGTTCTATTCCTGCTCACGACCATTATCAGTGACAAATATACAAACCTGTTCCGAGCCTCCCCTAAATCAGCCTTAAATGAGTACAGGCAGTTCCTGGGTTACGGAAGACCCGACTTTATGAAAATGAATTTTGATTTAAAGCTTTCGTGACTGCAGGGATTCATATTCTTGGTTCTTTTAGTGAGAATTCTATTGTTTTATGAAAATGCTCTGATAAATGCATGAAAAATTTAAGATGCAGAAGAAATGTTTGCATAAGTTAAGCAAGCGCAAATAGTGCAGCGCGGTGAGGTTGCGGATGAATACCGCGGAGGGACGCATAAGGCACGCCGCCTTACACCTCACTCCACCAAAACGCCTCCTTCACCAAGCCCCACCACGATTATGGGCAATGTAATTTTTGTATACCATTACATTATTGTTTGTTTCCTATGCTTCGAATTATCTTTTCCCCCATGTTTCTATTGTTAGGTTTTTACTGTATTTAATGTGCGTGCATGTGTGTGCGTGTGTATGTAATGTCTAGGCCTAGCCTAATGCACGGTAAACAAACATTCGGAAGTGACTGCTTTCTGTTAACGATTTTTATTAAAATGTTTCGTGGTATTCAGAAACAATTGGATCCAGAATATGTTCCATTAGTTTAATTATGGGTAGTGTTATTCGATTAAATGAAAAACGAATATGAAGTGCAGAGTATGTACAGCAATAGAATATAGGTAGCAATAGAAAACAGCGCAATACAGTCCTGAGGGAAAACGAACTAGTATTCAGGTAGGGGAGGCACAACTATTTCTGGCTATTGGATTTTAGCTTTATTTCAGGGAAAAATTGTTCAGTTACTGACATATGGAAAATTCGGGTTACGGATCGTTCTCAGGTACCTAACCCTTTCGTAACCCGGGGATGACATGTACCTGGTGCTGTGTGTAAAACATCAGCACTGGGGAGACTAAGCCAGGTGTGGTGTTGGCCACCCACCCTCTCGTGTGATGTGTCGACCTTCACAGGTGCTCTCGAACAGCACTTTTCCCAGGTAGCGTTTGTCTGCAGATTGCCCGATATGATATAATCACAACTTTCTGGACCACAGAGGACACGTGCTGCAGGATTGGAAGGATACCTTAGTGGTCCCCCTCTATAAGGGGGACCGTACTACTGGAGCATCTTCCTACTCAGCGTGCCGGGAAAGGTCCTAGCAAAAAAATGTTCAACATCGCCCTCTCGCCAAACACACCGAGGAAAGGCTTGCAGTGCCCGAGTGTGGTTTCAGACGGGGCGGCCTGCACGGATGTAGTACTCTCTGTCCGTCTGCTATAGCAGCAGCAGATGCAGCCAAAGCAGCTCCACTTCTCAGGAAGAAATGCGAACTTGGCTTCCGATGAGGTGGACTCGCCGTGTTCATGATGCAGGTGGTGTCCACCTCCATGAAAACAACCCCTCAGTGTAATAGGGTTTTTCCCCTTTTTTCTGGCAACGAAACTGAAACCTTTTTACAAGGATTCATGTCTGGTCGAGCACCAATTGGGTCGAGGCTCGAAAGAAAGCCGTCCCTTGGTGTGGACCAATCAGTTTCAAGGACAATGCATATATTATCATAGTATGTTTTCCTGTTTGCATTTTGACTGCAAGTATTGTGGTTAATGCAGACATGAATCCTTGTAAAAAGGTTTCAGTTTCGTTGCCAGAAAAAAGGGGAAAAACCCAATTATTATATTTTGGTACTGGCAAAGGAGGTCTAATGATGTAGATGCTAACCCCTCAGTGTTTAGTGGCAGCAGTAGTAGAGGAAGGCACGCCATAAAGGAGCGCGCGTGACAGAGGGGAGCACAGAAATTGTTATAACAGTTTATTATAGTCATGAATAATGTTACCATCTTCGAAATATTATCGTTGTTTATCAAGTAGAATGCAATGTTGTTCATTTTATCATAGTTTATTGTTCTAAACAATGTTAAGAATGTTATAAAGGTTGTCAATGTTGATATAGAATAATGCAATGTTGTTAATGTCGATTTAGTTCATAATAAAGTTGACTCAATTATCCACTTGCGATTTATCCAATTTGAGGATTAACCACGCACCTGATATTGACACAAATTAATAACTCATGGATGTTTCCCTTAATCCCAAATTAATAATCTACAAACAGTGATACACTTAAATTTTGATTTAAAGCTTTCGTGACTGCAGTAATTCATATTCTTAGTTTTTTCGGTAAAGTCACGTTGAAGAGAAACAACAAAATAACAAAATATATATAAAACAATAAAAAATTCTCACGACGTTTCGACCATAACTCAAACGGTCATCATCAGGTGTGTCGGTTTGCATAAATTTATTTTGAAAACGGCATATTTATTTATATATATAAAAATAACGTTTGCGTCACGCGCAACGATGGCAGTTTGCCAGGACTAGTCCATCTATTTTTTGAAAAGAGGAGGGGGGAGACGAAATTTGTTTTTATGTATGCTGTCTGAAAGGCACTGTAAGCGTGAACAATCAATCAAGAACTGAAATGATTTATCAAATCTTTCCAATGATTGCTAAGATAGAATCCATCTTCTCGGTTGAAATTGTCTCTGTGTTTGTATATGTGGATAGCCTCATGAACGAATCTCTCATGGAAGCCAGATGGCTTACAAAGAACCTCCGTCTTGGAAAAGTCAATGGCATGTGAGCCTACTGAATTAGAACAATGATCTGCTACGGCCGAGGTGTTGGTCCTACCGTGTTTAAGGTCTGCTTTATGTTCACGAATGCGGTCCGAGATATGGCGTTTGGTTTCTCCAATGTAACTACTACCACAGAGGCAACTTAGTTTGTAGACACCAGGGTATTGTATGTCCGGAATCACATCTTTTTACAGACGGAACCAGATCACGGATTTTATGTAATGTGTTGAAACGGACCTGGATCTTGTGTTTATTCAAGATTTTGGAGATCTTTTTTGTGATCCCAGCAATGTAGGGTAAAGTGATGGTTTTGAAAGGCTCCTCAAGAGGGTTCTTCTTCATGGTTTGAGTGATAGCTTTGCGGATTGTATAGTCGGAGTAACCATTAGCCCTAAGAGCTTGGTGTACGTGCTTGAGTTCACTGCTTATGTGTTCCTGGTCGGATATGCATTGGGCTCTATGATACAGAGTCTTGATGAGAGAATTCTTCTGTGATGGATGGTGGTGGGAATCCGGTTTCAGATAAGCATCCGTATGGGTAGCTTTCCTGTAGACAGAGTGGCTCATTGAACCATCAGGTCTCTTTTTAATTAGGACATCCAAAAAAGGTATCTTGCCATCTATTTCGACTTCCATGGTAAATCTGATGGCTGGGTGTATGGAATTGATGTGGTCGAAGAATTTGTCTAGAGCAGGCCGGCCATGTGGCCAGATGACAAAAGTGTCATCCACGTACCTCTTCCATAAGGTTGGGCGCAGAGTGGCAGTCTGGATGGCGTCAGTCTCAAATTTCTCCATGAAAATGTTAGCTATAACTGGAGAAAGGGGGGAGCCCATTGGGGTGCCCTCAGTTTGTTTGTAGAAAGTTCCATTCCAAGTGAAGTATGTATTGGTTAAACAGTGTCTCACCAGGGGGGGTACCTCAGTGTTTAGTCCTTGATGAACCAAGTCTTCAATGATTGCAATGGTGTCAGGTACAGGAACCTTGGTGAATAAGGAAACTACATCAAAACTGACAAGCAGGTCGTCTGGGGACAGGGAAATACCCTTGATTGTTGATACCAGGTGAGTAGAATTTT